TTCTGTGTTCTTCTTGGCCCCGCCCCCGCCCCACGACCGAGAACTTGTTTATGCTCTTAAGTAACACCTGCAAGCACAGTGTCTGCTTCCTGTACATTTTTGGTGCCTTTTTCAAATTGTCATAGTTATTTCTAAAAAACGCTTCAGTTTAACCTCTAACTTATTTTCTTAAGCAATGCTTTCATTTGAGAAAGCATTTTACCATTTTTACCTCTTCAATATTTAAGCAATGTTTACCTTTTCTTTAGCTTATATATAGGATGTCCTCCAACACTGGAGCAGAATATGCTTCTGGTCCAATTCCACCACAGCTGTGTTCCTAGCAGAGCGCACCTGGCTTTGGCAGTGCCTTTGGCTTCAAGCTCCTGGATATTCTGAAACTCCACATTCATGCCACTTTTTCTAACCCCCCTACCTTCCCCCCCAAACCCCCCCCCCAGTTAACCTTATTTGTTGGTTTACTGTAGTAGTAGCATGACATAGCTACATGACATTCTTCATGTTTTTAGCAAGTCAAAAACACCAGCTAAATGACTAATAAACTTGCAGGTAAATACCCCGAAATAGCCTCTCTTACCTCCTTTTCCTGCATGCCTACTTTTCATGTGGTTTCCCTCTCTGCTGTTGAGATCCTGTTGACTTTCAACATCTTCTAACATCTATTATCCACTGTTTAATTTATTGTAACTGCTCCCTAATATTTACCCTTGGGGACAAAAAGTTATTTCTTACCTTATTATGGAAGTGAAAGGACTCGGCAAGGGTAAATTGGTGACGGCTTCTCTCTCGCAGGACAGAGGAATTTTCACACTGGAAGGACAGGACAGAGGTAGTTGCATCAGGAGCACAGGAGCCCTGGATCTGCTTTCAGCGGTACAGCCCACTTGATGCAGTAAAGAATGAAGTAGGCTTTCCTGACAACGTAAAGTATGTCTAGTAAATACGTAGGTGAATCAATTATGAGTTTTGACTGATTCTGCAGAGGACAGATACCATGGCCATGACATGCCAACACGTAACCATAAAAAGCCACCAGTTTGGCTACTGGGAAAAAGGAATGTCAATTCTGCCTGTGGAGAATTGGAGTAGAAGGCATTTAAATTCGTCTGACGAGAATTTCCATGGGCGTGCCTCAGAAAAAGCATTCTTTCCTGTACGATACCGGATACATTTGCTCTGTGCAACTAAGGAATGGAGTGACAGCTAATGCAGATCTGCGTACAGCACTACGGAATATGTACATAACAGAGAACCATCCATTTCAAAATACAACATGAAGACAAGAAAACATGTTTCTTTGAAGTTACTCAATCGTATTCATATGCTGCTACTAGATGTTCTGGTTAAGAGCATGCCGTTTCATACATGTTCACGCTGCACCATTCTGGAATTCATTTTCTAGTGTCAACTAGATCACAGCTCTTTAAAACACAAACACAGCCAGGACGCTGAAGTACATCCAAGCTTAGCTAATGAATACGGATTTGTTTGGCAATGAAATCTAGAGGAACGCAGGTGGCCTTTAAGAACGACGTGGCTGAAGCTTGCAACAATACAGGAAGCAGAAAACCACGGATCTCTTTTAAAGAGAGGTTTTTAATGGACAGGATACCTGTTTTTTTTCTTGTACCTGAACTGTGGTGCGGGAGCACTAACCAGGCAGGAGGTGGTGAAGAGCGGGAAGCAGAGGCAGCAGTCCACCTTCCAGGACGCCCCTGGGGAAACTGCCTGCTGCTGGGCCTGCGCCTCAGGTGCACAAAAGCTCTTTGTCAAAAGCTGAAAGCACATCTGAGGTAGTGAGAATAGTAAAATACATACATATTTCTACAACGATATGTGAAAATATCTTATGTCAAAGGTTCTGAAAGTGCACACCAAGCCACCGCAGGTGGGGAATGGAAAAAGAAAGGAACAGCGCGGATTTAAAATACAGCACGAGTATACCCATTGCTACATTTGCATTAGAGTCCGTGCTGGGCAGAGGTGAGAAACAACTGTAAGAAGGAAAAAAAATAAAATCCCCCATAAACAGGCCCCCAAAGCCGGGGTGGGGTGGAGGTGGCGCTGGCACCCGTTTGCAGAGAGGCAGTGCAGGGCAGCGGAGCACAGCTGCTGGTTTTGGAAAGGCGATGCCGGTGAAGCGATGCCTTCCTCAAGACAGGTGGGGAAATACCGCTCCCTGCACTGGGGTTTAGGGTAGCTGAGGTGCCCCGGAGCATCACACCCACGGAGCCTCGGTGGCGCAGGAGGAGACCTATCAGCCCGCGCGGTTGGGAGATCCGCCTGAAGTGGCCAACAGGAGCCAGGAGACCATCGATCACGGGTGCACTCACTCTCATCTGGCGATGCGGTGGTTGCAAACGCGCCCGTGCTGCTGCCGGAGCCCTTCCCGAGCTCCAACTCGGGAGAAGCACCGCTGTACCCAACTCTCCGGCGGCCCAGGGCACGCCAGGCAACGTGCAAGCCAACGTGCTTTACAACGAAGGTCTGGGCCCCGCAGCACACGGCGCCCGCTTCGGTCCACCCCACCCCCCCGTCCC